TCCCCTCCTCTCCCTCTCTCCCTCTCTTCCTCTCTCCCTCTCTCCCTCTCTCCCTCTCTCCCTCTCTCCCTCTCTCCCTCTCTCCCTCTCTCCCTCTCTCTCCTTCTTCTATCCTACGAACTAACTTACCACAGTCGCTCATGGCAGCAAAGTTCCGAGATGCTAAGCTCAATCCGCAACGGTAAAATGCAATAACGCCGCTTTCTCCTCAACGCCAAGGCGCGGTGCGGACTTCTGCTGCTGGCCGGTGTGGGGGGCGGCTTCCTGCCTGGTCTGGCGCTTGTAGCTGCACGCAGGCGCCGCCAGTTGGGGCTGTTTTGCGGAATGTTGAGATAGAAAGCGGCTGTAAGGCTTGGGGAGTAGGACCCCTGTACAGGTCGTCTCTCAAATTCACTCGGGCAGCTGCCATCGGATATGCCGCAGGGGCCTCAGAGACCTGGGATCTTGCAGGCAGCTGAACTTCTCTTGCTTCAGGCGTTTGCTGTCCATTCGGCTGTGCTCCTGATGCAGGCGGCAAGTACCGTTGAATGTTGTGTGTTCAATGACCCGAGGCATTCTGCGGGTGACGCATGTCAAACTTTCTAGCTGTCGGACTGGGGGGGAGGGGCGGCGAAGTCGCTGTTGGGCTGCCTATCGCTGTTGGTGACTCGTTCCTCTCATAGCTGGTGCTGCTAACCCTCGACCCTAAACCCTAAACCCTAAACCCTAAACTACAAACTACTAAACCCTAAACCCTGGTAACATTATTGTTACCGAGACCCTGGTCCCACAGGCCATCGGCACCGAGATGCGCTTCCTTCTAGACGGCGGCGGCTACATCTTCGGCGGCTTGGTCCTCGGTTTCCTCTCAGCTTAACCCCGGAAACCATGCAACAAAGGCTTCGGCCCCCCCCAAAAACCTTAAAACCCTAAGTTGCCACGCTTGCGAGAGCCTTCTCCAAGGCCCTCAGTGCCTGTACTCCACCATCGACTCGCCGCTGAGCTTGGTGGGATGCTTGGCTCCTCTCTCCCGAGCTCTACCATAGATGATGGATTGGGGGCAAGGGGTTAGGGTTGTTTTTGGGGTGGGGGGTCCAGCCCTGTCGGCTTTTCTTGGGGCTGGTCGGTGGCGGAAGCGTGACGGTTTGACCGGGGTTCTCAGTGGGAAGCGCCGCAAGATTTCTGCAAGGTCCTGAACTTCCTCCGGTCCTTGGCAAGAGCCGACGTGTCAGCAGCCTAAGACATGCAGTTGCCCCACACCGTCGACCGCGTAAGAACCTCCTGGCTTGCGTGCCAGGTACGACGGACCCGCTGGTGCAGGTCCCTGCCTTGACGAGGTAGTGGTGGGTCGGGTCCTCGGTGGGTTGCCCGTGACCTCCGGCACTTGGATATTAGGGTTTAGGGTTTAGTTAGGGTTTAGGGGTTAGACATTAAAGTGGGGTGTGTGAGACTCGGCATTTCGGGGCACCTGAGGCAGCGATGGGTCGGCAGGGTGCTCAGCGACTACCATGGGCTGTCAGCTTGCAAGTCTCAGGCCCGGCTGGGTTGTACCTCACTTCGGGTGAGCCTTTCCCATTCTTGCGACAGAGAACGCTGCATATGACCCCCAGCTAACACAGCAAGAGTACCGACTGCAGCCACGGTCTCAAGCACACCTATCATGTCGGGAACTCAAGGTCGTCCCTTTTGTGCAGATGCCAGCAGCCCAGCGTGGAGATCAAGTCAGTCAGTTTCAATTCCTGTTCGGATGACATGGGCATTTGGAAGTGAAGCTTGCGCACAGCTTTGATGGCCATGTAGATGCTGCGATAGGTGCATGAACAGAGAGTCGCATGAGGATGGAGAGAAGTGTTTGTGTTGAGCCTTGAGCCTGAAGCCTACATATTCCTACCCTACACTTAAAATCCTAGAACCCGGATGCTGCTCAAGCCCTCCTTTGCTGAGGCGGAGCTGCAGCGAGATGCCCTTACTCTCCCTGTTCTTCTTCCTCTTCCTGGGTGCCCGATGACCCAGACGTGGCCCCTTGTAGGAGTCTGGGGTGATCAGCCCATAGACCCCTAAAAACCCCCGTGCGAGCTGCAAGCTCCGAGGAGGGCTTGAACTTAAGGCAACACCTTGCCCGAACCCTTGAACACTCTGTCTCTGTTTGTTCAAAAGTTCCTGTTTAGGGGAGCCTGACTCAGAGTCTGTCCGTTCTCCTGCGCTTGGAGCTGAAACGTGTCCGAGTCAGAGTGCCACCGGGGTGTTCTACCAAGGTCCTTTGCTGGGTAGTGTCAACTGCCACACTTGGCGAAACACCTTTTGCTGTATGTAGAGATTAGAGATGCTGTTTCCGCAGATTTCTGCTCAAGTGCATCCCGCATGTTCGAGCCCCTGCTGTCTTCGGGGTCAACTTCCGCGTCTCGCAGCGCCTACGTGGAAGCGCGCCAGCGCGTAAGCCAAGAGCAGTCAGACAAGATGGAGGCAATTCCAACCCACGAGGCATCCTGCTTCTTCGGTAGTTCGTGTACTATAGGGGCCTGAATAAGTACAATAGGGCTTTGGGGATGATAGTAGTAGAAATATAGACGGACCCGAAGGGAGCATGACTAGCAATTACTCCGACCCCTATATTAGCTTCAGGAGGTCCGTTCCCGAACTTGTGGTCCGCGATCAGGTGCCCAAGAGCCATAGGGAGTCCTCACATGAAAGGTATCTAAATGGAGACCCTTTTCTGTGCCACTGCAGTCTGGACGCTACGTGCCATAATCCCGAGAGCCTTTGCGGCCGAAACTCTGCAGTTCATGTATCCTCAGCTCGAAAATCCCAAGAAATCCCCGTGCTGCAGGCCTCCCGTGGCAAGAACGGCTTTGAGGCAAGGGGGGAAACCAATGTTTAAGGGTACCCCCCCCCCCCACCGATAATCATCCTAATGCTCAGTATCCCATTGGGTTGGGGAGGAGCCTTCGGCAGAAGAATCGTCATGCTGCCGGGGCGGCGGGATGTGTGTCGGTACTATCTTACAGCGCTTCGTCTTTGTTTCTGCATCGCTCAGCCTCTACCTGAATCCGGACTTAAGACTCAACCTTTCTGGGCACGTGAAACCTTAGTGCAGGTGGGCTTAGTTCGGTTTTCAGGGCATTTTCGGGATGGTTCAAGGGGATGCTGTGCAAGGACAATGAGCACCCGGACGCCTCCGAGGCTGGTCGGAGTTTGGCAGCCTGCCCTGTGCCCCCACCTCCAAACCCCAGGAAGAAAAAGATGCCGTAAAACGATGCCTTGAAGGATGCCCTACGAATGCTTTGAAGACGTCCTAAGATCACGTTAAGTAGCATCTTACAGCATCTTAAAGGCTACACCACTTGGTGCACGGCAGGCCGTGGCCAGTACGCAGATGTATGTGGCCGTGGGCGTGGCCATGGTAGGCGGGGAGCTTGGTGTTGCGAGCGAAATGGTCTGAAGAAGTTGGGCAACAGCCCCTGCATGCCACGCCACAAGGAGCCGCCATGTTCGGCTTCGACCAGGGCAATTTCGGGAACGTCCAGGAGAGTTGTTCAACTGCAGCGCCGATGTAAGGCAGAGTGGGTTTGTCAGGGCTCCATGGGCCACCACTTAGCCCGCAGGCCTTCGAGTCCTTTCGGAAGGAGTGGTGTGTCGGCAGGCCCAAGCAGACAGTTGCAAATGCCTTCTGCTAGGGGAACTTCCGCTAGGACGCATCGGACGTGATTTGAAAGCATCAGCTCATGGTCGGCTCATCAGCACCAGGTATGGCGACGAGCACACTTGCAGCGCGGAAGGGTTCGCATCTTAAGAAACATGCAGCAGTCTCCCACATTCTCCACAAAGAGTGGATGGGGCCCGATGGGGGTGATAATTGTGACGATCAAGGTCGTTGGACAACGATGAATGGAACGACGCCTTCGTCACCTGGGGCGCTACACTCATCACGTTTGGTGCTGCAGCGGGCGCCATCCTTTTAGGCCCTTTCCTGTGGCTTGCTTGCAGTTGGGGGTCTATTTGGGGGTCTATATTGGGTCCGGGGTCCCTGCATTTTCGTAAACCCCCAGTTCAGGGAAGCATCCGTCACTCCTGGTGACTACGCGTGCCGGCGCATGTCCACCGCTCTCCTCCGCCTCTCAGGACCAACAAGCTGGGTCGCGATCTCAGTATCTCAGAGCCGAGAAGACAGCAAAAGACTCCTCGTCGGCTCATCTGCCTGGAGCCCTTTTGTTTCATTTATGGATGTTTTTTGCTTAGGTCGCCGTCCGTGCATTCAGATCGGTGGCTTCATCTGCTACTTGGCGTTGCTGGCAAGTCAGCTAAGTAAGTAGTTGCAGCTGCGCTTCGAAATCTGATTTTGCGAGCGGAGTTGCCCTCAGCAAGATGCCCATCGGTTCGCACCGAATTATTCGCCCCCCCCCCCCCCCCCAGTTTCTTTTGAGGCTTCATTGGCTGCCTCATGGCATCGTACATCTCCTTCAACAGCCCCTCGTCCGTGCGACTGGTGACCTTGCTGTGACCCAAAGAGGGGTATGGTTTGGGAGGCTCCCCCTTATATTGACGGTCCTTAATAAGGACTATAAGGGGGGGGAGGGTACTAGAATCCCGATTAAGGGCTGTTAGTGTAAGGGGGAGCATCTCAAGGTATGCTTCCTACGGACTCGCTGTCTGCATCACGGGAGGACTGTACACCGCAATGCACCTTGCGAGGTGTCTGGACGTTCTTCATCGGCCGCTTCATCACAGGCCCTGTTGCATCTCCAACCCCGGCCCCTGCTCCTAATCGTCTCATAGCCTTAGTCACCCAAGTAACCCTGAGACTATTTAGTAGCCCTTTCGTCGTTTCTGCTTGAGGGGAGTGGCGGTGGTGCAGCGCAGGCTTCGGTGTTGGCGTGAGCTGCTTTGCGCTCCCGCTCTACAACGCTGAGACTCTTTGACCAAGTCAGCATAAGGTCCAGTAGGGAAGGCAGTGAAGAACGCGCGGCATCTTTTTCAGTCAATGTTACGCAAGCCAGATCTGCTCAAGTTTTTGGCACGACGGCACGACCCAGGATTTCGACACCAGGGATCCGAGGCCAAGCAGGGTGCCCCGATCTAAACTTTCAGCTTAGTAACGCGAGCTCATCGCACAGCGGAAAGCAATCTCCAGTATTGGCAGGCGCAACAGGTTCGCTGTTTCAGCTGCTTCTTGGCTGACCCCGCTTGCTTGAGGGTTTAGGGTAGAATTGGAAGTTGCCTGGCTCTCCAGCCACAGTGCCTTTTGTCTTTTGTGCTTCTTTTTCGGCCACGGATGCCTCTGCTCCTGAGGAACGTGGTGGTTGGCTGCTTCATCTCTTGCTTGATCACGCTCTTTGACAAGGATCGGGCATCATGATGTAGAGTAGAGTGGAGTTCATTCTAGCACTACCCTTCAGGCCTTGCATGCACATTCCCTGCTGGATCCAACATCAGCTTGTTGGAACACAACCGCCGATGTGGAGTCGACAAAGGGGTCTTCACGCTGTGGCGTTTGGCTCTGGTGTCTGGGTTTTTACATCAACCCTCAACGCGAGGCATGGACCAGAAGGTAGCCTTTGCATTCGAATCTGCAACAAGCCGTAGGCATGTCGAACTCACACCGTCTCTAGCAGAACTCCGTCGACAGCCTGGTCAACAGGGCAAGCGCCTGACAGAAGTTGCTTCTACGACCACTGCAGCTGTTGTTGCGGGCGGCTGCCGCCACTAGCAAGTACTAGATTGCTAGAAGTCTAGTGGTAGTGGTGCCAGTACCACTACCACCATCACCAGTGCCGCTCTCGACTTGAAGAGTGCTTTCTGGGCAGGACTGGTATATGGGCATGCTGCTGCCCGGGCTTGCTGGCGCCGTGCCTTTTGGCTGGCATATGGTCTAGCAGCAGCTTTCGTGCTGCCCTCAACCGTTTGAACAACAGGCTCACTGTTGGCGGCTTCTTCATTCCTGAGTCTCCTCGCTTCGCGCCTTGGCCAAGCTGCTACTTGGAGGTTCATGGTACTTAATAGCTTAAGTGTAACTGTACCCAATTATAGCCATGATAGGGCACTTAAAAGGCTTATAAGTGGATCTATAAGTACAGTTATAATTGGGTTAGAAGTACCGTGAACCTCCAAGTAGTTGCAGCAAGGGAAGCCGGTTGCTGATTCGAAGCAGATCCACCTGAGCTCGGAGGTCATGGAGAAGGCATTGCACAAAGAGTCCGAGCAAAAGGCCTATGCTGCGGGCACAAGGCGCCTGCGCCTTGTTATGATGCTGTTGCTTCCGCGAGCGGCGCAGAGAACAATTCGTGCCGAAGCGGTTCCGCTTCTCATGTCCAGCGTACTTTCCTCCTGGATAGTTGTCATTATTATTGTTATTATTGTTACTGTTATGGTTACTAGTTTTAGTATTATTCTGATTATCATGACTATGGTTTTTCTCCATCTTCTCCGTGCAAGGTACTTGAAGCGCATCTTGGGCAGCACCAACGTGGGGGGCAGTTTTCTGAGCCGCGGTTTGAAGCCTCAAGAGCAGGACCCCACCTCAACAGAATCGGACCGGCACGTTCGTGAACACTCCGCAAGCCCCGTGCCTCGAATCCCCAGCGTCACTGCAGTTGGCTGGCCCTTGTCCTTTCGCTGCAGGCATCCGCGTTGGTGACGTGACGGCTGAAGCGGATGAGACACGGGGCTGAAAGGGTGGTGTGCAATAGGGGCATTCTGCTGGGAGACACGAGTGCAGAGACCCTGTGTTGGCACTCTTTTGTTTTTTTTTGTATCTTTGTACCTTTTCAGTTTCAAACCCAGGATTATGCAGCAGATCAAGGAGGAGATGGACATCGACCACATCAGCTTCCTGGGTCTTTTCAAAGAGCGCAGCCCAGCTGAAAGGGGACACCTTGATTAAGTTCTTAGCAACTATGGGGGTTTAGGGTGTTGCAACTATGGGGGTTTACGATACTAGGGGTACCATATTGGGGTCATTATTAGAAGGGGATGCTACTATTGGGGGGTTTCTGGCTTGTAGCGGGGTCTCTACGCTGAGGTAACCTGCGAAAGCGGGTCTTCATCGCTTGCCTCTTGGCAGCAAAACGACCTTTGGGGCGGTTATGGGCGGTTTGTGGGGACGATTGAACCTCTGGGGAGCAATCTTTTCGCAGTGTGCATCATTCATACGCCAAGACAGCCACGAGTGCGGCTATTGCTCCAGGTGGCCTAGCCATCTGCCAGCAGGCCCGCCTCCAGCGAACTGCCGCTGTTTGAAAAGGCGGTTTGGAACGATGCCACTCTGCATTCGGCCGTGCCTCGAGGCCACAGGTGTCAATGCCTTCCTCGGCTACGCTGCGACTCTCTTTAAGGAGCAACTTGGCCGACCAGCAGGATATGTAAGTTGAAGAGAGCCACGTTGCTGGTGGTTCAGACGGTCATGAATCAGGCTACATATCAGGCTGCCCGCATGGCAGGGTGAAGCTGTTACCTCCTGGGGGTGGGGGCAGGGGTTCAGTTGGGGTACCTATTTTGGAGATTCGTACATTAAGGATTATTTTCTTGTCTTGGGAAAATTTTCGCGTGGCTTGTAGTGGCAAGTCACAAGCCATAGCTACGGCTTGGGTCCACATGACGTGGTCGAGGTGCGGAATTGACAACCCCATCCTGTTCAACTCCATTTTCAATAGTGCCCCTGGGCTGCAATGCGCTAATTCTAGCGCTGATGACTATAGGAACTACCGGTTTGCCAGGGAAGGGACATCTCTCTTTTTTCACGGCTAGGACGTTGACAGCCTTTTCAAAAGTTGATGTAGCAAGTGCCATGAAACCGAAATCCCTAGACCTTAAACTTCTGCCGAAGCCCTAACGCCCTAAGACCCAAACCTGAAACCCGAAACCCTAAACCCTGAAGCCCTAAACCCTAAATCCCTAAACCCTAAACCCCAAACCCTAAACCCTAAACCCTTAGCCCTTACAGCTGGCGAGATCATGATCTTTGGCTGCGTTGCCGGGCTCTTGCTGGTGGACTCGAAGTACGGTGGCCGTCGCTGTCAGTTGTTGGCGGCTCTTTGGCCTCCAACAGGGCGCCTTCACATGTCGGTTTGAAGATGTTGAAAAGGGCTTCTGGTCACAAGGCTTTTATGGCTTTTAGGGTTTTCAGGGCTTTTGGGGCTTTTAGGGTTTTTGGGGCCGCTACGGCTCGTAGGGCCTGTAGGGTTGAGGATTTAGGGTTTGAGGTAAGAGCATCAACTGCCAGTGAGCAAGACATGCTTTGAGGTTCAGGACTGGGCTTTTGCGTTGGGTTGCGGTGCACTCTTTCGAGGTTCGAGGGCCCGAAGCCCAGTGCACGAACATGTCTATGCCCCTGGGCCTGAGCCACGAGCCTGATTCATCAACTGGGCCCCCTAAACCCTAAACCCCAAACCCCAAACCCCAAATCCCAAACCCCAAACCCCAAACCCTAAACCCTAAACCCTAAACCCTAAACCCTAAACCCTAAACCCTCAAACTCTACTTCAGTGAGGCCACCGCCATGATGGGCCCTCCGCTGGTGCTAGCTGGCTTCGTCACGCGGCAGTGTTAAGGAAGCCTTAAATCCTTCAGGCCCGCCACCCCAAATCACGAAACCCTGAAGCCCCCATAAATTAAGATGGGGGGGTTTCCGAAATTCGGGGAGATTACCTTCTTGGGGGTCCTCATGATAATGTTGTTGGTAAGCCCCCAAATGTGTAAACTCGCAAACCAAAGCCCTTACATGTTGAGATGGAGGCCCTTTGTCATGATCAGCTAAGGCCCTGATGTACGAATGGGCAGGCGTGGAATTGTGGTGTATGGTTGTCATGAAAATTTTAAATCACAGCAATCAGTTGTTACTTTTTTGACGACTGGAGATGGATCCTACCCATTGGGTTCAGGTCCGTGTCTGGTAACCTTATGTGACCGAAAATACCTTCCACCCCCCTCAATCCACAGGCATGATCACGATGGTCTGCGTGGTCATCTACGGGGTGGGGTTCCAGTTTGCATGGGGGACCATCCCATGGATTTACCCGGCAGCTGCTTTGTCGGCACTGGTTCAGGTGTTTAGGTCTTACGGTGGAGTTGGGGCAGCTTTGTTTGGGGGTTGGGAGGGCGTTCGGGCCTGTTGAGGGTGCAGGGTTTGGGCAGTACCCACCTGGGATCAGTTCCAAAGCTGTGTGGCCATGGTCCAAAATCCATCTGCAGGGTCTGATTCGGGCAGCAAAGAAATTTGTCAATCAGGCTTTGAGGTTTCTGCTTTTCTGTGGGTGGACAGCAGATTTGATTCTTGTAGGATGGTCAGCAACGGCCGGTTCCTCTCACTGCAAACCTTGCATGCGATCCTTTCATCAGGAAATTTTCTCTATGGCGGAGAAGGACCTGCGATGAATTCTGGCGCGAGGGTCGTAGCGTCGTAGCCCTTGGAAGCAGCGTTTGGGGGAGCGCAGGAGTCGGCAGTTTCCCTGGCTGTTGGCATGAACTACATCGCGAATGCTGCCTGGATGGATTTTGCTGCCATTACCTTTAACTAGCCAATCATGCATGTTCAAAGCCTTACATCAATTTTCGGGCTGTGGGTGCTACTCATCGCCAACTCTGGATCCGTTCAACCAAGGCTGCCATCATTTACATCACTCCGGCGCTTATGTCGCGTGCCTGCAGCTTGTGGGCCGAACTCGATGAAATCACGACTGTATATTCTTGTATATTAAGAAAGTGAGAATTAATTACTGTGTTTGCAATTTGCTGTGTGCGCCACCGACTTCTAAGCATGCCATCTTGCAGCGTGCCTGTTTGATGCTTTGCCCGCAGGAAATGGTCGACGCCGGGGACTCTCCTGGTCTTTGGTGGCCTCAACATCCTGCAGCTCGGCCGGAGAGATTCCGAAATGCATGAAGGCTGCAGGGCTAGACGATAAGGATGTGCAGTCTTGGCCCAGGAACGAGGTCTTCGTCTTTCTCTACATCAAGGCTGGAGACTTTGTTCGGGCACTTCCCGAAGTCGCAACCCAAGCCCAAGGCCTCAACCCTCAAGCCCTAGAGACACCCAAAGACCTGAACTCTAAAGCTTAAAACCTTAAACTTTACAACCCTATACCCAAAAGCCTCAAAGCTCTAAGATTCTAAAACCCTAAAAGCCCTAAACCCTAAATTCCCCCCCCCCCCCCCCCCCCCCCCCTTGTGCAAACCAACCATTGACAGGAGACCAAGGGCGTGCCATTGGAGGAGGCCACAGCTCCGTACTTTTTGTGGGAGTCTACGGTTCTGGGTTTAAGGGTGAGGGTTCAGGGTTTAGGCTTGGGAGTTTGAGGTTTAGGGTTTGGGGGTTTGAGCGTTTAGGGTTTGGGGGTTTGAAGGTTTCGGGTTTGGGGTTTTGAGGGTGCAGGGGCTTTTGCGGGTTCGGGGATTTGAGGGTTTAGGGGTGTTTAGGGGTTGAGGGTGTGAGGGTTTAGTTGTTGAGGGCTTTTGGGGGTTTAGGATCCTGCCCGGAATTGGAGTTTTTGCACAACGAGCCCAAATCCCTTCGGGTTCAGTGTGAGACTTTGATCCCAAACAAACCTGCAAAACAAGAACGCCAGCACTCCCATTCCGATTGCGGTGGGAGGTCCCGGAGCTTTTCCGTAGAAAGGCAAAGGGCACCGATGCCGCTGGTCTGTGAATTCATTTCTGTTTCGGCTTTCGGGCTAGAGGGGGCAGCGTTCTATGAGGCTCAAGGTGTTTGAGGTGGAGGTATCGGCAATGGTCAGTGCATGAAGTCCGACTGCGTTTGAACAGATCGCTTCTCGTAGCCATGGTAGAGACGAGGACTCGTCCAGCGAGACGTCGGATTGCAGCACATCGGAGTTCTGAGCTCCAGAAGCATGTGGGATGCCGCGCTGCAAGCACCCGCGGTTGGCGGTGTGTTTTTCGAGTTTTAGCACGCGTGGCTTTTTCAGTTTTGACCGGTACTAGCATACCGCGACCAGGTCTGGTGAGTCTGGTGGGCCACTGCCATGAAGTTGGAATGTCTAAGTAGTCTTGATCTTCATGTTGAAGACATTATGGTTTGTACTTGGTTCTGATAACGGCCTATGGCGACAGGTGTGCACACTGGATAGGACCAAATGTAAAGCAAGACAAGCCATGTTCAAGCGAGCTCCATGTTCTGGTACCGAAGACGTAGATAGTTGCAGAGCTTCTGTGACCTTGGAAAGCTTGTTGGTGGCTTGTGCCTTCCCTTTAAACTTTTGGCTTGATAAACATGGGGGTTTACGAAAATACAGGACCCCTAATATAGACCCCCAAAATCGTAGGATTCCTTGATAGTAAGACCCCAAAAAGGAACCCCCCCTAATTTCGGAAACCCCCATATCAAGCCTGCTGATAGCAGCCAGCCGTGTGGCTGACGCACAGACAGCGGGAGCAGGAACAGCGCACATCGCGGGACCAGCCGTCGCCCAACGCTTGAGCAGGGTCCGTGGCCAACCCGCAGACCGGCAGACCCATAGTAATAGTAATAGCAATAGTAATTGTAATTGTAATAGTAATAGCAATAGTCATAGTAATAGCAATAGTAATAGTAATAGTAATAGTAATAGTAATAGGAATAGGAATAGGAATAGGAATAGTAATAGTAATAGTAATAGTAATAGTAATAGTAATGGTAATGGTAATAGTAATAGCAACAGTAATAGTAATAGTAATAGTACTAGTAATAGTAGTAGTAGTAGTAGTAGTAGTAGTAGTAGTAGTAGTAGTAATAGTAATAGTAATAGTAATAGTAATAGTAATAGTAATAGTTAGTAATAGTAATATCATAGTAATTAGTATAGTATAGTAATAGTAATAGTAATAGTAATAGTAATAGTATATAGTAAATAGTAATAGTAATCGTAATATAATAGTAATAGTAATAGTAATAGTATAGTATAGTAATAGTAATAGTAATAGTAATAGTATAATAGTCATAGTAATAGTCATAGTAATAGTAATAGTAAGTATAATAGTAATAGTCATAGTAATCGTAAATAGTAATAGTAATAGTCAATAGTAAGAATAGGAATATATTGGGTAATAGTAATAGTAATAGTATAGTAAATAACAGTAAACAGTAATAGTAATAGTAACGTAATAGTAATAGTTCATAGTAATAGTAATAGTAATAGTAAATATGGGTAATAGTAATAGTAATAGTAATAGTAATAGTAATAGTAATAGTAATAGCAATAGTAATAGCAATAGTAATAGTAATAGTAATCGTAATAGTAATAGTAATAGTAATAGTAACAGTAACAGTAACAGTAATAGTAGTAATAGTAATAGTAGTAATAGTAATAGTAGGAATAGTAATAGTAATAGTAATAGTAATAGTAATAGTAATAGTAATAGTAATAGTAATCGTAATAGTAATAGTAGTAGAAGTAGTAGGAGTAGTAGTAGCAGTAGTAGTAGTAGCAGAAGTAGTAGTAGTAGTAGTAGTAGTAGTAGTAGTAGTAGTAGTAGTAGTAGTAGTAGTAGTAGTAGTAGTAGTAGTAGTAGTAGTAGTAGTAGTAGAAGTAGTAATAATAATAGTAATGTGAGGACATGGCCGAATTTCAATCGTTTTCCGTTAGCAGCGGCTATGCCTAAAGCTTCAAGTTTTTGGCCTCACAGCTCAACTCGGGGAGAAGCCGAAAAAGCTCCGCAGGCTGGCCCCTTGTACACCCCGAAATACGATGCCCTTTACCAAAGCCCCCCTCCCCGCCCCCCGCTCTTAATTTGAAGGAGACACCAAAGACTCTGCAGGCGAATGTCGATCAGCTGTTTGGCACTTGGCCCCTACAGGGCCGGACGGTGGCCCACAGTTGAAAGCTCCCGACCCCTTCGACGACTCTACTAGAGTGGAACGTCGACACAAATCTTCGGCAGATTGGAGCCATGGCAATTACCCTCGGGATTTTGGAGCACTTGGGAGCAGTTGCTTTTGATTCCTTGGCCCCTCTCTGCCGATGCTGCGGATTTTGCGATTCCCTGCGGACTGCAAGAGAAAGTCTTCTCAGAGGACTGCAAAAGGCGCTGCGGTGACATGCTTCCCCCAAGGAAGGAAGATCTCTTCTCTGCGAATGCAGGAATGCGAATGCCTGCTCTTGCAGACACCAGAATGCAACAAAGTTGCAGACAAAGCAGGCGCCGGACAGGGGAAAAGGCTTCCTGCCGCCCCCCCCCCTCCCTATAAGGGGAGGGGGCCTCAAACATACAGTCGAGCTGGCTTTTAAGTATCCGTCCCATCCGTCCCCGCCCACCCCTGTTTAGGGGGCCGGGGACTCTTCGAGGTTTTCGGCGCAGGGCTCGCGGACATTGCCCTGGCCGCTGCCGGCCCAGGCACTCGGCGTGTGGTGCGGCCCTCGCTTGCGCTTTGGGCTTTTTGGGCTTTGCACGGACCCCCAGAAGTAAGCACACCTGAGAGTACCCGTGGCGTCCTTCCCCTCTCCGAAACTGGTCACTTCTCCAAAACGTGGTTTTTGTTTTTCTGGGGTCCTTGCTATAAGGCGGCCCCTCTTTTTTAGGGTGTCCCAAAAAGGAACCATAATTTTGAGAACTGACCATATGTCGGCCCCAACTGCGGGCGATTGTGGAAGAAGTATTGGTGAGGTTTCGGTTCATTCAAGGCTTTCAGGCTTTGGGTTTAAGTGTCTTGGGGTGTCTTGAGCTGCGTTAACCCTTGCCCCTAAACCCCAAACCCAAGCCCCAAACCCTAAACCCTAAACCCTTAACCCTAAACCCTAAAACCCTATAAACCCTAAACCCTAAACCCTAAACCCCAAACCCTAAACCCCAAACCCTAACCCCAAACCCCAAACCCCAAACCCCAGAAAGCCCAAACCTTGAGGTGCCTGCGGGCTTGTCGGAGAGGGACAGGAAGCGGCGACGTGGCCTCGCATCAGGCTGGGGTCGGTCTGGCTTAAGTTCTTGGGAGGGTTTAGGCCTTTAGGGTTTAGGGTTTAGGGTTTAGGGTTTAGGGTCTAGGCCTTAGGGCTGAGGGCTTAGGGCTTTCGGAACTTAACGTTAGCAGTAGCTCTTGACTGTTTACAAAGTCCTTCATTCGAGGCATTTGCGGGCTCCGGGGTCTGGGGTCTGGGTGATTCGGGATTTAATGCTGTAGTGTTTTGGGGTTCTAGGGGCTTCAGTAAGGGGTTCAACAAGAGGTTCAATAAGGGCTTGAAGAAGGGCCTCAGTAAGGAGTTCAATAACAGGTTCAATAAGGGCGCCCTTATAAGGGGTTCAGCAATGGGTTCAATACGGGTTTAACAGGTTCTAGGGGCTGCAAGGTATTTAAGGTTTCAGGGATTCGGGCTCTGAGCCCAAAAACCTCCGCATCCAGGCGCTTTCATCTTGATCGGCCTGGTCGTGGTGATCGTGTTGCGGCCCCTACTAGGGCTTGGGGTTTAGGGCTTGGGGTTCGGGTTGAAGTTAGAGGTTGTAGGTGAGGGAGAGTGAGCGAAGGTTCAATCAAAACGGTAGAAAAAGCATATGCAGCGGCGATGATGTGCTACTAGCAGCTCAACAATCGAACGTGGTGCGCCAGTGCTTTCTGGAAGCCTTGAACCTCAAGCCCTACTCGCTAAAGCGCAATCCGTAAACCTGGATAGCCATCAGCGTGGGCCCAGGTTCGGTGTCTTGGGCTTGGAATGTTTCTCCTGCTCGCTTAACTTAATTCTTCTCAGACTTGAAACTTTCACCGGCCACTTTGAGCCGAGCATGTGCTTTGAACGTGAGCTGGACGGCACGATTCCGCCAGACTGTCAAACACGAGTCCCTGGATCTGGAAGTTGTCTAGTTGGGCCAGGTCCCTTTGAAGCGCCGCGGCCAGAGCCGGTGCAGGCTGGCGGCGTGTGTCATGCATTGCCTGATGCAAGTAGAGCTTCTCTCTATGATGACATGTGTCAGCCGTGCTCAGCTGTCCTTTGCTGGCAGGTGGAAGAGAGCACAATGGACCAGGGGAATGCGTCGGACGGTGCTTCAGATGGTGCAGGACTCTGCAGCGAATCGAAAACAGGCGGTCCTGAGGCGCACTCAAAGCCCGGAGTCCAAAGTGCGTAGGAGCAAGACGACTGCAGATGGGCGATGGCATGAACATGACCAACATCACCACCGAGGCATCTTTTGCGGGCCTGAGCCACGCCGGCCTTGGGGTAGGGGACTAAGCCGACTAAGCTCCTGAGCCATCTCCATCCCAGACCACTACCACAACACCTTCGCCACTGTTGGCCAACTACACAGCTGCGGAGATACAGCAAGCCCAGGCGCCCCTGCATCCGTTTAGAATGCTCAGTGCAGGCTGAGATTTGGGGCTTGACAGTTCTTTGAGCTCGGATTGCGAGTGAGGGAGTGTTGGTCAACAGCATGTAGGCAGTTCACAGCTACAATACAGCTCGATGCAGTCTGAAGATACTGACACGCGCCCTGCAGGAGGTGGCGTACACTTATCATGGGGCGATGGTGGGGCAAACGGTGGACATGACGGGAAAGCGCCCCGGCTTGCTTGTTGCTTGCAAAAGCCCGGAATATGCTGATGTCTTGCATTCCTGCTCCAGGCTCATAGTGCTCAGGGCTAACGGAGGGTTGTTTCCCTTGGACTTCCTAGGCAAACATCGGAGAACCTCCATTGCCTGCATACTTTGATGGCAAAGCCTCTGCTTCATGGAATTGATATGAACACGTTGCACTCCCGCCCTCCCCCTCGAGTTGACTGGAACAACTCCCCCACAAAAGGATTGCGGAGGAAGAAGCAAGTCATCCTTTTGCCACTCACTGGCGTAAGGCCTCCTTGGACACCGGTGCATGGGGCCATTGCAAAAAATTGTGTGTCGCGGGATGTCGCGGGCATCGCTCTGCTGCGCGGTGCGTAGTAGACGTGGCCCCATAATTACCATCCCGGGATTGTCACGAGTTGCCTGAAGTTGAGCACCATGGAGTGGTGGTTGTTGAGATTTTTGCAGGCCGCGTGCCAGATTTGGGCACCGCCCTGGAGTCAGCATTGCACCTGCAGCAGTCATGACAGGTTCTTTGTAGACTTCTCTTTTGCAGCGGTATCTCTCCCTAGCTTTGTGGATGTGCTTTGTGCCGTGGGCAAGGGACGGCCATTCGCAAGAGCAGACTGCTTCTCTTTTTTCGATATAATTGTGTAGGGTTTTTTCTGTTCGAAGCCCATGAAAACCTAAGCCAACCAACAGACCCAAGACCAAACAAAAAGGGTCCGACAAAACAAGCCCGCCCCCATAGCTTACGCCAGGTGCATCCTCCCTAGCGGGGCGGAGGCCCCATCCTTACGTTTCGAGGAGGCAAGTGACAGCGACTGCCCGTGCCCCAGGTCTGGGAGCTGATCGGGGGCTTCGGGCGCTGTGGGAGGGCTTTCGTGCAGGTTTGGGCTCTGGCAGGCCGATGAGGCGAGTATGGGGGGTTGAGGATTTGTACGCTTCGTGGGAAGGCATGTCAGCCATTTTGATGGGTTTAGGGGGAAGGAGTAAGGTAGGCGCGGGGCTTCAGGGTTCGAGCAACTGCGTACAGAAACCAACAAACGTACGGCAGCAGACGCAGCGTAGCAAGCAGGTATGGCTTGTATCCAAGTCCTCACCTGGAGGTACCATGGTTTTCTGCCAGCCCAGGCTAGAGTGTCCCAAGGGTCCTCTGCCCTTCTGCAGTGACCCAGCTCGCTTCACCGTGCATCATGCGAGCTTGAGGTCAAACCCTGTGCTCCCTTCACGAAGAGTGCTTCGGATACAGCCGCGACGGCCCCCTGCGTGACATGAGCTTGCGGACGTGCTTGTTGTGGACCCAGCCAGGGCCTCTGACCACCGATTTGCGAAAAGATGTAGCGCTCTAGGGCTGAGTTCGACCGGACTGACCTACGACTATCTCCTGAATACTAACAAGAAACCCTAAACCCTAAACCCTTAACCCTAAACCCTAAACCCTAATCCGAGCACCTGTTTAATTGGGGGGCCCCCCCCCACCCGCCACAATAAGAAAGGCAGGGTTTTGCAATAGTATGACCATGGCCCTGTATTGATTCTCTATTCAAAACCATAAGAAAGTATTGAAAACAATGGGAATGTATAGAATCTCTATTAAAACTGAATAACAAAGTATTGACTCTCTATGAAAAACAATAGGAATGTATTGAATCTCTATTTAAACTGAATAGCAAGACCAGGGCGCCTCCCCCAAGGCCTCCCATAATTGTGGTCCCTTTCTATAAATGTGATGCTGTCTTTGCTAGGCAGAGCCCACAAGGGGTAGCTCAGGAAAGAATGAAAACTTCTCTCCATCACATAAGAAATCCTAGCTTTCTGAAAGGGCCTCAGATTCTGGAAAAGTAAAGCTTCGGCTTCTTTAAAGCTTTTATTTTTAAGCTTCGGCTTCTTCAAAGACTACAGGACCAGGGCTCCCCCCGACAGGGCCTCCCATAATTGTGTTCCCTTTTTATAAATGTGGTGCTGCCTTTGCCGGGCAGAGCCCACAAGGGGTAGCTCAGGAAAGAATGAAGACTTCGCTCCTCCAGTAAGCAATCACATAAGAAATCCTAGCTTTCTGAAGGGCCTCAGATTCTGGAAAAGTAAAGCTTCGGCTTCTTTAAAGCCTTTACTCTTAAGCCAAAAAAAGGAGCCCGCGAATTTTTTGAACCCCCCCATTTTTTCGTTAAACGAGGTGGTATTTCCCCATACGAAATCCCCCGTAATGGAAAGTGTGTAGTCTTCCGGCGGGCTTCTCGGCGAAATAAATTTCTTTAAATGTAGGGGTAGTAATTAAGCAGGTGCTCGGATTAAACCCGAAACCCTAAATTTTCAGGCACAGCCACCAAAGCAAGCGCCCGCCCAGGCGCGGCCTCATTGGCCATGGTAACGGCCAAGGCCTCTGGAGCTGCGCGACCAAGGTCTTGGCCGTTGGCTCAGAGACGTCGGGGTTTAGGGTTTAGGGTTTAGGGTCTAGGGTTTGGGGTTGAGGGTTTTGGGTTGAGGTTTTTTTTAAAGGGTTTCTTGAGGTTTGGGACCTGAACTGTGGAGGCTGCAGAATCTGTGCAGGGATGATTGTAGTTTGCGTTTGAGATTTCGGGCAGGGGGGGCTGGTTGGAAAAAGCAGGGCTTGAGTCGGAGGTATATCTGCTCGTAAGGAGCTGAAGTTTCCCCAGACGCACAGTTCAAGACGAGGCTGTGCGGCATGCAAACCTGTGCTTCACAGGCTGCAAGGGAAGTTTTCGACAGCCAAGTCCTGTTCAGAATCAAGAGAGAGAAGTGAAGAAAAACACGGTAAAATACCATGCAGTGAGTACACGAACAAAGCCTGATTTTATTGGAGACTTTGCGAACAGGGCTGAGAGAAAGGTACCATTCGCAGGTTCAGCAGTGCTGGAAATCCTGGCCTGTCATTCTCACACTGCGTTCACCCTTTCACTCACTTGGGTGGTTGTCAAAATCATAATCCCTTTTGGGGTACCCTAAATGTTAGGTCCCTAATTTGGACGACCACCCACTTGTACTACTAGAGCGAGCGAAGTGAGTGTGACCGGAACACTCGATGAAGAGGCTCACCGTCCTGTACTTGGAGGTTCATGGGTACTTATAACCACTCTTATCAGTCTACTTATAACCTACTTAGGGGACTTAACGGGCTTTTAAGTACAGTTACAATGTAATTGTAAGCCCAGTTACAATGTAATTGTAAGCCCTAAACCCTAAACCCTAAACCCTAAACCCTAAACCCTAAACCCTAAACCCTAAACCCTAAACCCTAAACCCTAAACCCTAAACCCTAAACCCTAATTAAACCCTAAACCCTAAACCCTAATTAGGGTTATGAGTACCCTGAACCTCCAAGTACTCCTTTCCCACGCAACGTGCCCCGCTTTGGGTGCCGGAGGCGGCCAACCAGGCAGTCGCAAGCCCTCAGGCCCTAAACCCTACACCCTATAGACCCCTAGACCATAGACCCTAGACCCTAGACCCTAAACCCTAAACCCTAAACCCTAAACCCTAAACCCCCCAAAAAGCTACTTCCATGAATTCCCAAACAAAAATGCCAAGCCAAGGCCGCGGAGGCCTGGGAATGCAACACCTCGGCCTTGATGATCAAGGCGGGGCTTCGATGGAGCCCGTGAGACGCGGCTGCGTAGGGCCGCAAGCTCCGCTGGAGAGTGGGGAGGGTGAAAGGCCAGCCAGTTTTGGGTTTAGGGTTTAGGGTTTAGGGTTTAGGGTTTAGGGTTTAGGGTTTAGGGTTTAGGGTTTAGGGTTTAAAGGGTTTAGGCCAGCCGGTGCAGAAGGAGCAGAAGAAGTGAGAGACCTGGGTCAGAAGCGCAGAAGGATGGATCTATTTGCCACGCCAGTGCTTCAGACCGTTTTGAGAGGGCTGCAATCCGAAACTCTGAGTTCCAAAACCCTTGAGCATCTCGATAGCTCTGTAATTTTAACGCTACGCGACCCGCCTCGGCCCGGCCCAGCGCATCCGCGTGAGCATGATGATTCCGCAGCGCCCAAGTCGCTGGACCCCAAGCACTAAGGGTTGGGTTGAGGGTTGAGGGTTGAGGGTTCCGGGTTTATGGTTTATGGTTTGGGGCTTGGGCTCAAGGTTCACGCTTTGGGGTTGAGGGTTTTTTTAGGGTTCAGCTTGGAGTGATCGTAGGGTTGAGCCAGGCCCCTTTAAGGTTTCAGGCGACTCTTCGGCAGGGTGGGGGGGGAGGGGGAGGTGGGGTGGGGGGAGGCGGGGTGGGGGGAGGGGGGGGCGGGGGAGGATAGGGGGGGGGGAGAGGGGGGGGGGGGGTGGGGGGGGGGGGGGGGGCGGAAGGGGGGGTGGGGGGGGGGATGGGGGGGGGGGTGGGGGGGGGGGGTAAACTCCGCCTTTCACAAACACCTTATGTGAGCAAGCGCCAAAACCCCCAGCCATTCAATTAAGCAAGGGGTGGACACGAATGCCCAAAACCCTGTAAAACGATGGGAACACTTGAAAAGCGACACCCTAGGTTATGAGCCATTGGGTGTGCTATAGCGACACCTACAAACATCAAGCCCCTCTTTGTTGCGTCCATTAGCACCTCGAGCCCAGCCGCTTCATGTGGCTTTTGGGGAGGGACAAAAGGGGGGGGGATACGGGGGGGGGGGGGGGGGGGTGGGGGGGGGGGGGGTAGGGGGGGGGTAGGGGGGGGGGGCGGGTAGGGGGGGGGGTAGGGGTTGGGGGGGTGGGTGGGGGGGGGGGGGTAGGGGGGGGGGGTGGGGGGGGCGTAGGGGCGGTAGGGGGGGGGTAGGGGGGGGGTTGGGGGGGGGGGTAGGGGGGGGGGGTAGGGGGGGGGTAGGGGGTGGGGCGGGTAGGGGGGGTGGGGGCAGGGGGTGAAAAAGGGGGGGCCCTGCTGGGAAGGGCTGCACCTGCCTCTGGTCCTGGCGAACCATCCGCTTGCGGACCCTGCTCACTTAGGGCGGGTACCCATTTGAGGCAAAAAAATTACTGTTGGGTCTGGTGCCAAAGAACGACTCCGTGTCTGTCATTAAGCCCTACACCCTAAGCCCCCGAATTTGGGGAACCCCTCTGAAACCTTGTAAAAGGATGGCATCCCGGTGCAGATGGCTCCAGAGGCACGGATGGCAGGTCATGGAAGGTTTTGAGGCTTTCGGGCTTTAGGGCTTCAGAGTTTAACCTTTCTTTTGGGGTTTAGGGTTTTGGGCTTCAGGCTTGAAGGTGGTTTTTGCGTGAAGTTTTGCCTCCCCAGCCTTTGCTGAAGTCCCTAAAAGTCCGGGCCTTGCTTCAGATCCGCTGCGGTTGCTCCGGCTCGTTTTCGCGCGGGCTCTGGGGCTTCGTGCTGGGTGCTGAGATCCTCTTCGAGTCCAAGAGTCCGGCTGAGGAGAACAGCTTCTGGAAACCTGTGACGCTCGCTTTGGCCGCTTTCTCCACTCAGGTCGGTGATTGCGGAGCAGTTTGCCACCTTGCACTGCTTCCATGCTTACTCAACATGCAGCGGCATTGCTGAGAGCAACGGCAGAGACATGGAGTCTTCCCTTGTGGCCAGTTACTGTGAGCTTGGCATGATCGCCCCGATGCTGTCATGTGCTCAGCACCCACAGCTGACCAGCAGCAGTTCTCGTTCAGTCGGTTCAGGGTCGAGAACCTTTACAGTCTGAAGGGCTTGAATCGAAATTCCAATAAATTCATGCACCGAGGATAGGTCTGGCTGGCTTTGCTCTGCACAGCTTCACCTGCTCGCAAGCGGCCATGGGCTCGGAGGTGATTGCTGCGTGTGTGTCAACAGGTTTAGATAGCTGCTGCTGGTCTAGACGAACTTCTGGCTGCCTACCTGTCTCTCTCCTTCTCTCCTTCTGTCCTTCTCTCCTTCTCTCCTTCTCTCCTTCTCTCTCCTTCTCTCCTTCTCTCCTTCTCTCCTTCTCTCTCCTTCTCTCCTTCTCTCCTTCTCTCCTTCTCTCCTTCTCTCCTTCTCTCCTTTTCTCCTTTTTCATTTTTGTTTTTTTTTTTTTTTCTCTCTCTCTCTCTCTCTCGCTCGCTAGCTCGCTCGCTCGTTCTTGCTTCGCACATGTATACGCATATACACATGCGTGCACACACACACACCACATCCTCATGACTCTAGGCTGTTAGCACCTGCAGTGAGGTCGCACACTTCAATGTGCTCCAAGCGGAGGACCCCTTGCGCATGGGCCCATGCCCGGGAGCCACTAGGAATGGGCCGTCAGCAGGGAGGATTCCGTGAAGGTTCTGGGACTTCTGGGCTCACGCAGACTTTGGCGCTCTCGAAGTCAGACAGGAGACGCACAGGCACTTGGTGATGATTGGGCAGCAGGCCTCAAGCTCGGACACTCGATGAAGTGAGGTGTCCTGGATGGAGTTTTGGTGGATACAAGAAGCAATATAATATTTTAAACATGTATAATATATAATCTATACAATAAATAGATAAATGAATACATATATATATATATATATATTATAAACATAGTGTATATATATATATATGAGTTTCTTGATGGACAGCTGCTCCTTTGCTGAAAGGCCAGGGTTGTCGTGGACGAAGGCGTGAAGCTCATGGGTGGATCCTCTTTTCTCTTTTGAGATTCTCCATTGCGGGATCGGACCCTCGTGCCAACGCTTCCCATGTCTGTCACTGGTATCAGAAGTTTCCTCACAGATGTTCTAAGGCGAGCCGGAGACGAACACATCTATGATTGCATGGAATGAGGCTGGCACACAGGGTGGGAAGAGCTGTCAGCGTTCCAGGAGCTCTTGCACTGAAGACTCTCTTTGGAATGTCTCGTTTTTTTCAGGGCTTCCCCACCATCCCGAATCCGTTAGGCACGGCGCGAGACTGCGCCGAAACCCCACGCCACGCTCGGCCAGGATCTTATTGAGTCTCGGCCTTTCTTGAAGGTCTCCAATTCCACTGTCCAAGGTACGAATCGGATGTTCAGCGTGTGACAAGGCACGAGAAGCTGTACCTGCAGGTTGAGAATTCATCTGTGACTCGCAGCAATTTATTCTGCGCACACGGGCCGCACGGGTCGCCTAGCAAAGTTGCGCCCAGAAGGGGGTCAACGTAGAGATATGCCCAACACGCTCTTTTTCAGAGTTCCGTCGCGCTCTTCTGCAAGCCTGTGTGCGGTTGCTCTGAGAGCCCCTCGAAGAGGGACCTTAGTGGCCGTTTTAATGGCAGCGAAGCTGAGTTGCAGTGGGCTTATAGGGTGGTCGATTTTAGAAGTGGGTGAAAGGTCTCAGGTGGAGCCTCAACTTTTGTTCTGGTTTCATGGTTTATAGGGGGCTCATAGGGCTTTCTCGTATGAATGAGATCGAACAGGTTTGCGAGGGCTTGGAGGGTTTTGCTTCCTATAGGGTTTCGGGCACAGCAGGCCTCGCCCCCACTGCCAAGACAGGTTTCAAAGTGCCTGAGGTTGCGCTGCAAGTCTGCGTGCTTTCCTCAGTTGAGCCCAACCCGAAGACTGACATCTCCCCACGATGCCTATTCCCTGAAAAACCCCTAAAGACACCTACAAAGCCCGAAGCCGCCATAAACCGCCCTAAACCCCTGACACGAAACCGGAAAAGAACCCTAAAAGACCCTAAACAGCCTTAAACGTCCAAAATGCCCCAAACCCCAAACCCCAAACCTCAAACCCTAAACCCCAAACCCTAAACCTTAAACCCCAAACCTTAAACCCTAAACCCTAAACCCTAAAACCAGCGACTCGGAGCGCTCCGAAGTCCCTCCCATGCCGTCTGAGCCTGCCTCGAATGAGGCTTGGCCCCCTCGGTGCGTGAAAGTGTGCTCAGGGTTTGGGGTTTAGGGTTTAGGGTTTAGGTTTAGGGTTTTCGGGGTACTTTCGGGGGGTACTTTGGGGTACTCTAAGGTGTTTGGGGGCTGTTTTGGCTATAGGGGGATATCCTCCTAGCTTCCCCAAGAGAAGGCTCAAGTCGCTCTGGGCTGAACCTTGCTTGGACCATGCGGTCTTACGGCTGCGTTGATCCTTCGCACATCTGAGTGGGTTCACATTTGTGGATATCCACTTCTTGATACCTTAATTCAGTTTAGGTTCCTGACTTGCAACCCAGTACAGGGGCGTTGGAGTATGCCTTGTGGGTTAGAGTCCCGCCCCCCAAGATGGCGAGGGCCAAAAAGGCCACCCCCTTATATAGAGACCCGGTGCGTAAGGAGTTGACACGCTGGCCCTGGTGTGCAAACTCGCTGAAGTGCGATTGGTGCGCAGGTTTTAAAGAATTCGAGAGAAGAAGTGTCTCAGCAGTTCCTACTCCCAAAGTCTCTCCAGCCCCCGCACCCAGCAAAGATGCAGCTTGACTTGTTGGATTTTGTAGACTTCAGACGCCAACCTTTTCGTACCCTAAGCCCTAGCAGTCCTAGCATGCAACTTTTAGCACGCGCCTCGACACCGAGAACTTCCTTACAGCGTGGAATCCCATGGCTGTCGGAGACCAATGGCATGGCGCACCGGGCGGGCGTCAGCAGCGGCAGCCCCTCGAAGAGTAGGCGCATCCGGGGGTGAAATCATTTTTTTGGGGCTCCGTTGTTTCGTTGCATGTTTTGGGGAACTTCAGAGTTTAAGAGTTTGAGAGTCTGAGAGTTTGAGAGTTTAAGACTTTAAAAGTTTAAGACTTTAAGACCCGACAGCAGCGATGTCATGGCAGGCTGAGCCGCGATGCCGACGCCACGCCCACGCGGGTTTCGCCCGCGCCGAAGCTGCTGACCTTAGGAGGAGAGCCCCCGCTGAGTTGTGGGGGTTTACGAAAACAGGGACCCCAAAATGGGTGGCTGTCAAACTTCTGATTCCTTTTCGGGTACCCTAAATATAAGGTGTCGTATTATAATCGGGATCCAAAAAGGGACCATCATTTTGACAACCACCCAAATAGTTCCCTAAATAGTAGGATTCCCTTATAATGAGGACCCCCATAAGGTACAGTTGTCAGTATGGTCATTCTCATCGTCGTTTGGGAGTCCTTGACAGGGATTATGGGACCCCCTATTATATTCCTTATTAAGGACTGTTCGTATACGGGGGAACATCCCAAATCGTCTTTGTCATGGTCTTAAACCGGAAGTGGGGCAAAGGGCACAAAATCACATCAAAAGAAAAATAAGAAGAATGATCAGAATGAGAACAGCAGTGCTACTAGTATTGCTACTACACTCTTACTAACAAAAAGAGTACCACAACAACTCTTGAGCTTCTTGTGATACGCCCTTGTCAGAGGGGGGGTGGGGCTCTGCACTCCTGTACCCTACATGGGAGTTTACGAAAATAGGGGATTCCCGTATCCTAAGGACCCCAACAATTATACCCCGAATTTCGGAAACCCCACATGCGCTTACCTTCGAAGCAGTGGCAGGCGGCGGCCGCAGTCCTTCAGCCTCGCCCATTGGCACGGACCCTCACTTAGCATCGTAAAGGTGTCCGGGTGGTTATCGCAATGGAATCGAAGTCTGTGAATATTCCCAGGGTCTACACGCAGCAGCAACAGGTGCCACTCGCGCGCGCGCGCGCGCGCGAATCTTTTAGGTGGCACCAGATGCAACGCTTCTTGCTGCATCCTTCTGCTGGTTGGGTGAAGATCGGCTCCTCACTGCTCTCCTGAGGAAGCTAAGACGCTGACCCTAAACATCCCGAAGCATCCCAAATCTCTAACTCTAAACCCTCAACCCCCTTAATCACGAACCTTAAATCCCCAAGCCTAAATCCTCTAATTTACCCAAAGCCACCCCTTGTACCCCATGAGGAGCTCCCGGCCATCGATGTCCCCTTTCGCGGCTCTTCCTCCCCAAGGCCCAGGAAGCTGCCACCAGCGACGCACTTCCCGGTGGTGGCCAGGCAGGGAAAGCTCATCTTGGGTTTAGGGCTTGGGGTTTAGGGGGTTTAGGGTTTAGGGCTTGGGGTTTAGGGTTTAGGGTTTAGGGTTTAGGGTTTAGGGTTTAGGGTTATGATGGGGCCCCTTGAAGGGCGCCATCGCAAGAACATGATGGCTGTTCACGAATATGGGCCTAGGGGTAGTTTGGTGGGCAGTAGTAGCGGATCCAAGAATCTGTTGAGGGTTCGCACGGAGCCTCTGGATCCCAAGTTGGGAAAACCTTTGAGGCGAACTCAGTTTGTGATTGGCCTACGTAAGTACGTGCCTTGAGCTTTAAGACTTTCGGTGTACTAGCGACCCAGAAAGGGCCCACAATTGGGCTCATCCTTTCTGTGGGAGTTGTTGGCACAAGTGTAAGCCCCCGCCTCAACCCGAAAAGATGCCCCTAACCTGTAAACTCCCCCCCCAAACCAGACACAAAGCCCTGAAGCCCATGTAATATCTTCAATGCTTCTAACTCCAGACAAATATATCCATCTTGCTGCCCCCCCCCCCCCCCCCTGTAAAATACACTAGCTTTCAACAACTCCAAGACTTCATTGTCCATCTTTATTCGATGTACCGCAAGAAGATGTCCGGCAGCCCGGAGGCGGGCGGAGCAAAACGCCTCCGCGCGGACACCGTCCACCTCCAGTTCCCAAGGTCCGGTGACCCTGGGTCTACACGGGAGGCCGGAACGGATGGGGTTTTAGGGTTTAGGGTTTAGGGTTTCGGGATGTTTAGGGCCGGTATAGTCGTTCGGAGGTTGTTTTTTGGGTGCGCCTTGGAACCTTGTACGTAAGTGTAACACCTATACTATGGGTATTTCCCAAAATGGGGGTACCTCTTTGATACCCCAATAGAATATAGAATCCCCTTTAACCCCATATATGAATAATATCCGCCGAAGCCCGCTTGCTTGTAGGGGGTCGTTGGGCGCCAGGCGTGTTTCCGCCGGCAACAAAGAGTCCAGCGCCATCCCACATGAGATCCTGGCCCGAGGCGTGCCGCGCTTTGCGTAGCTGTTGGGGTTTAGGGTTTGGGGTTTGGGGTTTGGGGTTTAGGGTTAGGGTTTAGGGCCGGGCAGAGACACCGTCGCCAGATACGCCCCCTAAACACCCCTTGTAAACGCTGAAGCAGTGTCCACAAACCCTATCGAAAGCTCCAAGCCTTGTCAACTCTACAACCACAAACCTGTCCTGTGTCTGTGAGTGCCTTCACTTCGAGGCCACTTCTACACCCTAGACCCTAAACCCGAAACCCTCAACCCTTGACCCTAAACCCTCAACCCTGTGGTTGAAGGCGACCGGGCCCAGCGAAAGTTTCGCGAGGCGCTGGCCAAGGGCAAAGCAAAGCCCAGGAGAGGCTCTGGGGTTTATGGGGTCTGTAGGGTTGGAGGGGTTGATGGGGTTTACAGGGCCAGGGGAAAAGGGGGGGGGGGATTGTATTGTGGGGTTTACAGGGGTGTTGCGGTCAGATACCTGATCAGATATAGCTCTCTCACGATGGTTCCGGTGCGACTTCGCCGCTGGGCCCATGCCCTTCCCGCCCGCTGGGCAGAAACAGAACGAGCCTGCAGCAAGACTGGGCTTTAGGCAATCGGCTCGGTGCCTTTTCGTCGCAGCTACCTTCATGCCCATCGCCATGGATCTGGGGCTGGACGGCTTCGGCTTGGAGGAGGGCATCCCATTGCGTGGCTGGTCGATGAAGCGTGGGCACCGCAAGCGGGTTGAGGCTGCCAGCACCCGGAAAGCCGGGAAGGACCAGCACAAGGCCCTTGCAAAGAGTTGAAGTAGGTAGTACTTTTCATCTGTTAAGATGTGGTGACGTGCCGCTTGGTTGCCTGCTCCTGGTGCACAGAACTGCATATTTAGTTAACACTGGGAGCACAAGCGCCACTCTCCCTCGCAGGTGGGACTGGGGCGCTCCGTCACAAAGCGCAGTGTCCATTGCGGCAGCCGTCGCTCCTGGTGGGACAAGGAAGACTGTAAATACTTTGGCAAGTACGGGGACGAGTATCTGCCGAAGACCCGCCGGAACAACTTGAGGCGGCAGGTGCACGAGGCAATCAACGAGATCTACGAGGCCGAGATGGAGGCTGAGTTCGAGGAAGGCTGCCTGCTGCATTCCTTCGAGGACTTGAAGGAAGAGATGGAAGAGTTGGAAGAGCTGGAAGAGTGGGCGGCGAAGTGGGAGGACCTCGAGGTGGCGTCTGTGTGCACGTCCACCACAGCGGGCGGCTCCGAGTTCGCCTCCGGCTTCGCCGACTTCGCGATGTCCGTATCGGCCGCCTCCAGCCCATCGCGCTCCTCCGGGCCCTCGCTTTCCCCATGGCTCGCGGCCCTCCGGCGGGCGGAGCTCCGGGCCCAGGAGTACGCAGATGCCATGGAATTCAAATTGGCGACCAACTCAGGCCCCAATCTGATGAGGAAGACCTCCCGACCTCGTCGAACTCCCCGAACTGATGCCAGGAGCGAAGAGGAGCAGTTTCTCCAGGACTTGGGTCGTACGCATCGGGTACGCATAGAGTATGATCCAGCGAGCCTGACCGAGAAGGCATCCGCATTCGACCAGCTCCGCTGGCAGTTCTTGAAAGACTTCGGGGAGTCCATCTGCGGGCCTCTCGTCGATGGCTACAAAACTGCTTGGACCCTGAGGCCGGCACCCCTGCACACGGAGGTGCAGAACAAGTTCCTGCGCGCTTTCTCATGTCGTGCCGAGAAGAGGGAGCTGCAACCTGCACTGCATGGCACCGACGAGAGGAATCTCTCGTCCATCTACCGACGGGGTCTGCTGATTCCGGGCGGCATTGGTGGCAGCGGGGGCAATGATGTCAGGGTTGCAAATGGGTCGGCCCATGGTCTCGGCATTTACACGGCGTATGCCGGGAGCGCATGTGTATCATTCGGTTACTCCCGTGGCAACCTGAGGCCCATGCTGGTCTGTGGTGTGCTGGACCCTGAGCAAGGAAGATGCCAGACATATGGAGGTGCGGTCAAGAAGAAAGATATCTGCTACGCCCCTGGCGTCCGCATCTTCTACAAGGAGGAGCTCGTGGCACCTTTGTTCGAGGCAACGGTCTCTGCAGCTGCAGTTCCAGGTGCTGTGCGCATCCAGCCGCCCCGACCCCGAAAGTACAAACCATCCCTGGTCCCGTTGAGCCGAGTGCTGGAGACGGCCAAGACTTTCAAGAGTCCCAACAAGTCCATGGGCTCCGTGCATCCTGGGCCACGGACGCGGCTGCCACGGCCACGCACGCGTGCGGCACCTGCGTGCCGCGCGCAGGCCTTCCTTGCACGGCGCGCGGCGCGCAAGCGGCAGTGAGTGTGAGTGCGAGTGTACAGTGTACAGCTTCAAGGCCGTGGCCGCTGGCCACCTCTTAAACGATTTTGGATTTAGTCCGGATGCGCAGATGCTGCTCATCCGACGTGCTGTACAGGAGCTTTGTTGACCAATCAAGGCCAAGCTATGTTCTTCCTGAACTTGTGCTTGAGAAGCATGCAGCTTCCGAGCATGCCATTCTGAGCGCAACAGTTGTGCCTAGCACCTGGCTCTTACAGCCACATGAGCGCTCACATGCCGCAGGACGCTGAAGGTCATGTTTGTTGGTCGCGGCCGCGCAGGCTGGGCAAGACTTATTGCGACTTGTCCTGCCTATCTTGAGTTGCCCAGAATGCAAAGAGTGAGAGCAGTATCTTGCCCCCCCCCCTCACGTACTCATGCCCATGCAAGGAAGGAATGTGTTTCCGCAGAAGCATGTGCAGGCAAGACGTCGACGCTGAAGTCGCTCTGCAATGAGGCGATCGTAGCTTAAAGGTGTCAGCTAGTAGAATTCCGAGCCAGATGCCCTGACGTGCCCTCAACAAGAAAGTTCTTGGACGTTCGACATGGGAGGCCTTCGATGCTTCGGAAGCTTCGACTCACGGCGTTGCGGGCGCCGTTTGCACCACGGTGCGCTTGGGGAGTGCTTCGGGAACTTGTAAGGGGCGCATTCTGTGGACTTGCACGTTGCCTTCGGGAACCGACGGGCTCTTGGGCTTGGGAAGGAACGGCGATTCGAGACGACATCTCCGCGGAGGGGCAGCAGCGAGTGGCGACGGATGAGGCCGCAGACACCAGACGGAGGTAGCCTCAGGTCGTCCCTTCAGCCCCCTTAAAGTCCTTGAACGGTGGAGCAGGGGATAGGACGGATAGGACTAGTCACTCCATGCAGTCCCTTGAGGTTTCGGTGGGGTGGGGGGGGGGTGGGGGGTGGGGGGGTGGGGGGGTGGACGGGGGTGGGGGGGGGGGGGGGTGGGGGAAGGGTCCCTCCCCCAAAACCATCCAACACGCCGCCAGGGTCGGCGGAATTGAATATTATGCACGACCTCCAAGGCAATCCGAATCCTGAAAGCCCTTCCAGAACCAAACCTCAACTTCGAGCCGAGGAAAAATGTCCTGAGCTCCCCCCTTTTCTTGAGCCTATAGTTCCCGTATTGACAGCCCTATACTAAGTTAGCCCCCCTGAAGCCTGACCCGTGTCAACCCGTTAAGGCCCCGGCCATCGCCTCTTTGCAGGCGCTTTCCGACCTCGGACTTCGATTCCGTGGTGGCCCGGCACGTGGCTGCAGCACTCCGCGACAACTCGCCTGAGGAACGGCCGCCGACTCCTGGAGTGTCTGGCTTTGGGGGCCTTAAGGGGGCCTTTTGGGGTTTTGCGTGTTTTGCCTCTGCTTTTTATGTTTTTTTATTGTTTTTTGATTTTGAGTGTTTGCGTTGTCTTGGGGGGCTCTAGGAGGTTGGGTTTTCTTTCGAGGTTTTGGGGCTTAGGCTTTGGAGTGCACAGCTTGATTCTGTGAGCCTTCTGGGTTCTCATGGAGGAGTTTCGGGGCCGGGGGCGGGGTCTGGGATGATTTTGCAAGTAGCAGCAGGAGCTTGTGTGTACGTACCCATGTCGCCTGGCAGGACGCAGAGCCAGATACCGAGGCCGAGGGAACGGAGTTGCATCATGACCAGCCAGGTTTGGGACGACCTCCGAAGTAACGGAGCACCAGCCCTAAATGCCCTTTCAAGCCCCTGGCCCTAAGCCCTACCCTAAACCCTAAACCCTAAACCCTAGACCCTAGACCCTAGACCCTAAAGCCTAAACTCCCCTCAAGCCCCAAACGCCCCGCGGAAGCGCCCGGTGCAGGCCCGGGCGACGACGCCGGAAAGGACGCGGCCGAGACCCGCCGGTTGGAGCTCCGTGCCAAGCCAGGTGGGGATCCACGGTTTTAGAGGCATAGGGTTTTAGGGTTTAGGGTTTAGGGTTTAGGATCATTGAGGGCAAGCAGTGTTTGGCTTTGTTGGTTTGCGGACTTTGAAACAGATAATTCGGGTAATGTGGTTTCTGCAGGTAGAGGGCTTGCAGGGAGGCGGTTTTTCCTGGATGCGTCAGAAGTTGAAGCGCAGACATCGCCGCATGATCCGAGCCTGACTGCCTAGCCAGTTTAACACCCTAAACCCTAAACCCTAAACCCTAAACCCTAAACCCTAAACCCTAAACCCTAAACCCTAAACCCTAAACCCTAAACCCTAAATTCCCTGAGTGCCCAGCAGGATGGGGAGCATCGCAGCTTCAAGATGCCTGTTGACCTAGTCATCAAGCATATGAGGTTGAGGCCCCAGACGCTTAGAGCTACAAGTGCTCAAAAGCATGGCAGCAAGCAGATGAACCCCCGGGTAGCCATGGGATACTGTACTGCCGCGACATCTGACATTGCTTGCCTTGTGCGACGCCCTCCACAGAAACAGGTCAGATGACGGCGCCGATGACGATGCCATCACTCTCCAAACCTTTGACTTTGCAGGGCAGGAGGCCCTCCAAACACCCCGTTCAGCCTTGGCACTGTCGGGGGCAAAAGGGCCTTGGTCGTAGCACGTACTGGCTTAGTACGGCAAAGATTTCAGCATGATTAGAGAAGTAGGTGATCCATAGATATATTATGATTTATGCCTCATATACCGACCTTTTGTCTTCGGATTTCTTCTTGTTTCATGCTTCCCCACTTGATTTCTCATGCCAGCGTAGGGCCACAAGAATACAAACTTGAGCGCTGAATTTACCATCCTGTTATGGAAAGTGGAAGATTCCCAGGAAAAGGTTGAGTAGGAATCTTCAACCCTTAATCCTTAGACCCTTGATTTAGATAGAAACATATTAATTCTTCAAGTTTTTTGTTCAGAGCTCCGGGGACTGAAGATTGAAGATTCCCAAGACAAGTGTTGCGAGGAGTCTGCAATACCTGGATATTGAATACGTGCTAGAAAAATGCTCACATTGTTGTTCAGCAGGTTTGAAGGTTCACGATTGAAGATTCCCTCCTTTCCTGGGAAGCTTCCATCTGCAACCCCAAAAAACACTTAAATTGTTAATTCCAATTTTCATTCAAATCCAGGTCTTGACATTCAAAGTTGAAGATTTCTCCCAAACCTTGTCCTGGGAATCTTCAATCTTCCAGGGCTTTTGAGAAAACTGTATGTATGTACTTATAGATACGCCCACACATGCAAAGGGGTCACCACCTATAGGTCACCACCTACAGCGGTTCCCCTGCTTTTGAAGCGCTATGAAGGCATGCAACTTACAACCATCAAGCCATTGAATCCTGCAGCGGACCAAGAAATCAAACACTTCTGTGTGTAGGGGGAGAAGTGTTTAACACAGCATGCGAGTCCATCTTAAGAGGATCAACGCTAGGAACACCACAGACAAGGCAGGTACATGGGGGTGGGGGGGTGGGGGGGGGGGGAGGGGGGGGGGAGGGGGGGGGGAGGTAGCATATATGTATACATCTTATGCAAATATATAGACGCACGCACACACACACACACATAGCACATAAGCCTAAAGTCCAAAGAGCCACGCACCTAGAGCCTAGAAACCTCAACATGTTTTCAGATTCTGAAGCTGCCCTACACCCACCCGGACTACTTCCCTAAACCCTAAACCCTAAACCCTAAACCCTAGACCCTAGACCGTAAAACCCTAAACCGTAATCCCTAAACCCTAAACCCTACAGGAGTACCACATGCTCCACCACTTGTTCCTGAGCAACAAGGCAAGGAGGGGTTTGGGGGCTTCAGGGCTTAGGGGTGTAACTAGGGCTTGGGCTTGTAGGGCTTGCAAACCCTAAACCCTAAACCCTAAACCCTAAACCCTAAACCCTAAACCCTAAACCCTAAACCCTAAACCCTAAACCCTAAACCCTAAACCCTCAACCGCAATTAGGGCTTGTAGTGCTTTTAGGGCTCCCCTGTCCCGAGTTGCCAGCCTGCCTCAAGGGCTTGTACCTCGTGGTCTTTGACCTCAGTCTTTGGACAGATGAGCCGAGAACTTACCGTGACTTACAGCAGTTCGGGATGCCAGGGATCAAGCAACGAGAGGCTGTAAGTACTCTTGTCGGCTACCAGAACCCGGCAGATGCAGCGCGCGACTGCCAACCTTGTAGCTTCCATGATCACATGTGGCCAGTGCTTTCGGGGCACCAAGGTCGGGCGATGACCGAACATCTGAGGCATCATACTAGGGTCACTTGAGGGCTCTGTGTGGGTGCATTGGGCAAGCTCAGAGCTCAGTTCAAGTAGGGAATTCGGGAGGGAGAGGGCCCGTATATCATTTAATCTCATATTGAGCCAATGGAGGGGGGTAATAAGGTACCTAACTACCTGATTCCCTGCTAATAACTCGTAGGTCATCCTGGACGTGCTCTTGAACTCTTGACTTGGCCGGCACCAGCAGCTTTGCCCTGTCAGGACGCGCTGACCTTTTGGATTTGCTCAGCAGCTTGGACATTTACTCCTGCAGTTTTCGTGCGTCACTCGTTGTCAAGCAGGCTGCGGAACAAGGATACATGCAGCGTACTCTTAAGGTGCATTGCCATGCTCCCGAGTCGCGCATGGTTCTGGCAGCTTGGAAGCATACAGCCTCAAGTCAAAATGCCGCTCCAAGACAGTGCGCAACGCGAGTGCAGCACGAACATCATCTGCACATGCCCCGCATCCCAACTCCTGCTACCAAGGTGGGTACGCACGTGGACATGCTTGGACCTCACAAGACAGCCATTCTCGGGAAGGTGGATGCTCGCATCCACGAGCTGCTGCTTGGACAAAGTCTGTTGCAGACGATGTACCTTACGCTCGCACGCGTTCGCATGACATTCGCATGTTGTACAAGGTTGTGTGAGACCTCAAACCCTAAACCCTAAACCCTAAACCCTAAACCCTAAACCCTCAACCCTAAGGTTGGAGAGGAACCAAGCCCTCAATGAGCAGCTGGTCGACGCTCGGCTTGACGAAGGAGTTGTTAGAAGACCCGGGTTTTTCCGGTTCATAAGACTGGTGACCCATTACAACAGCGGATGCTGGTATTCAATATCATCATATTTTAGGAACTGAGTTGATGGTCTATGACTATGAATGGCCCCTCTTCTATTCTTATTCTTCTTGCGAAACTTATCAGCTTCATGCCGCCGTGCGCAGAGGTCAACACGGCGGAGGAGCTCTGCTTCTTTCCCATCGACAACCGACGACGCGCCCGACAGTCTGTGGAGTCTCTGCGTGCCAAGATTGACGAGACAGCGGCAGAGGCTCTGCTTGAAAGGTTTTTTTGGCACGGGTTTGGGGTCTTTTGTGTGAGCTTACAGGGCTAATGGGTTGCTGTCGGCAGGGTTCAGCTCGGCATCGATGTGCTGCAGCTAAGGAGATATGCACAACAGGCTTCCTTTCGAAGGCACTGCCTCTCTACTGGCTCCGCTATCAGCCACTACCTCGCAAACATTCTGTCGTTTCGGCTGCTCAGTCACCGCAGTTTTCTTCACAACGCCAGCTGGTGTGCTTGCTCCGGGCGTCAGCGTATGCACTGCCAACGCCAAGATCTGACTTTGCAACTCCTTGGGGTGGGGTGTCTGTCACCACTCCCAAAAGCAATTTTCCAAGAGAAAAGCCCAGTCCAAGGGCCCCAAGCCCGAGAACCGACGCCAAAGGACGGAGCTGATTCGCCTGGCCCGTGCGGGCCCTGACCGATTCTGGGGAGCCTCGCCTGAGAGATGGCCCAGGTGGGGTTTAGGGTTTAGGGGGGTTGGGCCTCTAGCAATGAGGGCGGCTATTATTGGGGGTTGGGGTGGGGATGCTTGGTCGGGTGCGAACTGCGAACTACTTGCGAAGACCGCAGGTGCAGCAACGAGCCTCGGTTGGGAAGCCCTGTCATCAGCACCAATCAGGCTCCCATACAGTAGAGAGTGACCCTCAAGTGGACGCTGAGGAACTGCCAGTGTCGAGGGCACCATGCCGGCTGCAGGAGCCGCGCGCCAACTCTGGCTTATCTATAGGGCTTGGGCCATGACAAAGCTGATCCCTCTTGGTAGGTGTGCTCTACCTTAATCCCCTGAACCCTCCCTAAACCCTAAACCCTAAACCCTAAACCCTAAACCCTAAACCCTAAACCCTAAACCCTAAACCCTAAACCCTAAACCCTAAACCCCTTTCTTTGTTGCAGGAGCGGCCTTATCTGCGCCGCCGAAGCCCGTGCACGTCCTCCCCTTCTCACAGGTGTCGCGGTTGGGCAGGGCAGCCCGGAGGCCCAGCCTCGTAGAGAGGGAGAAAGAGGGTTTAGGGCCTAGGGTTTAGGGTTTAGGGTTTAGGGTTTAGGGCTCCAAGCTGACAGCACGTGACAGCATCGCACATCTGACAGTAAGTTGCTGATTGAATTGTGAGTGCCATGAGAAGTGGCATCGTCCCGGGCTGGATATGACCGACACCCGTCGGCGCTGCAAAGGTCGGGATTCATGACGAAGGGGAGCTGCTCTCTGTATTGATCTACCTCCATGACACAGGTGGGCTGAGAGGCGTTGCTGTTCTATGAAGGCATATTGAGTTAATCTGCGACCATGTGCAGCGAATTTGTCTGACGATGAAGCCAGGATCAATAATCTTCTTCGATGAGGAGAAGCTGCGCGACTGCGTCGTGCTGGACCCATACTGGCTTGCTGAGGTGCCGGACTCACCCGACTGCGTGCATTGGGGGCAGCCACTTGACAAGCTTCGCACCGCCATAGACGAAAGGGCTACTTAGTTATAAGTCTACTTATGACCTACTTAGGGGACTTAGGGGGCTTACAAGTACAGTGATAATTGGGGTTAAACGTACCCTTGAACCTCCGAGTAGGGGATCAGCTGAGCTGTGGAGGCCGCGGCCAACATCTTCAACTGCCCTCGGGTGGTGCAAGGGCGGTCGGCCTCAGCCAGGCACGACGACGTTCCGTTGAATCTCGAAGCCGAAGCCCTCTCTGAACCCGAAACTTCAGAAATCACGTCCGAAGTTTGAAAAGTCCGTCTCCCGCAATCAAAGGCGGCTACTGGAGCGAGGTGAACTTCACGTGGACCTTCTGCGACAGCACCTCTGGCGGTCTGAAAGGCTCCCCGACTGAAGGGGCTGCTTCCTTGGCCTTTGCTGGGAACATGGAACAACATGAGCTTCAGGGAAGAGGCCTTAGACTCATATGCTCTCAGAAGCTGCCCTTGGATGGCAGGTTTGCGGACCACATCCCTGTCCTCGTCAACCTGATGTTGCGCTTCGATCTCCTCGTCTCCTCGTCCGACCAGGAGTCGCCTCGCTAGCCTACAGGGTTTAGGGTTTAGGGTTTGGGGTTTAGGGTTTAGGGTTTAGGGTTTAGGGTTAGGGTTTCAGGGTAGCGAGAAGAAGAGCCAAACAGCCCATAGAGCGGGAAGCCCAAAAGACAACAGTCCGAGAAGAACCCCAAGGCCCTTAGGATAACTGGTGCGAAGGGGGCTTGAAAAAGGAGGGCCGCTCTCAACCTCGCATCTTCACTTGCCTGCTGAATTTAGCTGTGGCCTGCGGCGGCCTTGACACGCGGCGACTTTTTGTGCTTTACCGCAAAGCAATACGTCATGCCCAGATGGGTGACCTATTGCACCTGTGGGTAGGATGTCTTCGTCGTGCCTTTCCTGCTTCCGCTGAAGACTGGAGGCCAGACGATTGCCAGGATCACCCCCTCCCGCACTCCCCACGAAAGATCGCGCCAGGCTACGAGCCACCAGGGGAAGGTTCCCTGTCCTTCGACTTCCACGGCATGCTCACAAGGCAAGTGGAGAAGGGGGAGGGGGTACTAAGCATCATAGTTCTGTCGAAGCTTCACCTGGGACTGAGAGCCACTTCATGTGTGGACAGCAAGGGTCCTTTGGCAAAGCCCAATAAAGATCTAACGATTCCAGTATGAGATTGTGAAATAGGCGCGTGCTAAGGTTGCTTCCGACGGTCTTCCCGCGCCTGATCGCCAGCGCTGCCAAGCAACCTGACTCACTCTATGCTTTCACGCTTTGCAGTCGCATGGCCTGATGTTGCCATTGAGCTGCGCAGGGAGTCCCGTTCAAATTGAAACTGCGACGCGCTGCATTGCTCGATTTCTAGTTACACCAAGGATGCCATCGTTGCGACTGACGCACTCCCAGGTCTACAAGGTTCAATGCCACATGAAGCATGTCCCCAAGTGTCGAGCCCAAGCGCGAACAAGCATCCCGCGATGCCCTTTGAAGACTTGCCCCCCCTCCCCCCCAGCCCTAAGCATCCTTCAGCCTGCGGACGCTGAGAGATGCTGAGGGCCCAGAGGACTCTGCGGTGTGATCAGTTGGCAGGACAGCTGCACGATCTTTCTGGGAAAGCGGCGCTTGGCCTTCGAGCTGCTTCCTCCGGGGCCTCCTGGCAAAAGCATGGCGAAACTCAAGCTCCTGAAGACACCGCTGGCAGTCCGGGATCCTGCTGCTGTGCCCTAGCCGTAGCCCCTAACCTAGCATAGTTCAACAGTTCAACCTTTGCAAGCGAAGGCAGCAGAAGGTCGATGTAGCAGTCGCAACTAATTGTTGCAAGTGTTTCAATGAGGCGACCGGAAATGATAGCGGTGAAGCGGCTGGCAGGCAGCGAGGACGGTGCTCAGTAATTTCCCAAGTCTGAGTCAGGGCCGGGAATGGCTGGGAGAAGTTGCAGTTCTTCTTCAGACATCCAGTGCCTCCAGTGTCTCCAGTGTCTCCACCCCGGCAGGAGGGAGGCGAGTCGGATGGTGATGAGCCGGGTGGCTTGCAGCTGCCACTGGACTTGGCGAAGCAAGTCATCCAACTGGTCCACGCACCATGGCTACATCAATGGGGAGTTGATGCTACCTACTCAGAAGGGCACACGCAGGCCGCAGAAGGCAGACTTCAACTTTCGAGATATGCAACCTCGCAGCATGGAGCATATGTCCCTCAGGAGAGTACCTCGGAATGGCTCCCCCACTTGTCCTTTACAGCAGGCCGGGGGCGAGTCAGCCTGTGCTACATGGCAACACAGAGAATGCGCCTCTGTGCAGGCGTGCTTTGCCCTCACTGCCACCGCAGTGGCGCTCCGCATGTCATCGACGTGAGTGAGCTTTCCGAAGTCCCCTGTTCCAAGTTTCGAATTACTATACCTGCTGTGGATACTTAAAGAGCTCGACAGGTGTTTGGGTTCTCGTGCCGGTCAGAAGATACTGTTGCCGGACAGGGTATGTCTTAGGTCTCCAGAGCGAGCCTTGCTTTTGTCAACCTGAGGTCGTCATCTGCAGCCGGAGCCACGAGCCTGTGACCCTGGCAAAGGCAACAACAACAGCTGCACGATGTCAGACTGGTCACGCCTGGCAAAGCTGGATGCAGACTGTATCGTACTGTTGCAGGCTGGCTGGGCGTTCCGCTGGCGACAAGAGGCGCGCTGCTTGTCTCCTCAGTTAGAAGCTTCAAGCTAGAGGGCCCAACACGCTGGCGGGAGGTGCTGACCTCGGGTGGTGCCTCGAGGAAGTCCAGCGATGTCACCCTGGAAGCAGAGGCGTCTTGGTAGACCCTTTGGGAGTTCAAAGTTGCTGTCTCATAGCTTGGAAGCAAAGCTTGACGCGGTGCCTTTTGGCTTGTCTGGTTATGTCTGCATAGGGCATTGTGGGAGATGCAACGGGCTAAAGGCAAGTCTAAAACAGGGCTGAAGCTTGCGCCCACTGCGAAGCAATTGGTCATCTCAGGATCTGGTGCCACCCATGGAGCCTTGCGCGGCATTGGGATAGACTCGGATAGACGTGGCAAGGGTTTTCTGGTGCTTGAGCTTGAACGGAGCATGTACTAAGCCCCGTTCCGTGACAAGAGAGGAGTGCTCCATGTGTCGAAAGGACGTGCAGGAGCCGCCACGCGAGCCTGAGCCACCGGCGAAGCTGACGCGGCCACCCTCACTGCCTGGTGTGGAACGGCGGACGGTGCACGGGGCCTCGCAGGGGGCAAGGGTGGGAGAGCAACGATGCCAGCCGCCCCAAACCCCGAACTAAACTCTTCGGAAGAGACCCCAAGGCCCCGCTTAACACTCCAAACCTTATAAGCATCCTCAAAAACTTTCCGATGTCTCGGGAGGTGCCCATCCCCACGGCCATCGATACCTCCTCTTCGCCACTTCCTGGTTCAAGCTCGCCTTTTGCCGGTGAGGCACCTTGCTTATGGGTTCTAGAGTGTAGTAGCGGTAGTATAGGCTTGAGCAGATTGCGCATAAGGCTTCTCTCTGGCGAGAGAAGTCTACTGAGAGGATCGGATCTTTCGACTTTGCCCACCCGTCCCCACACTTAGCTTTTGCGAAGGAGACACCTGCTTCGCCGAGCATGGCAGCTCCAGATCAGGCACGGGCCAACAGAGACATGCTCCTTCTGCGTAACTAAAAAGACAGCTTGAATGCTCCCCTACCGTCCCCCCCTCCCCCTCCCCAAATCCCCGATACAAACGTACCCCAAAACACTCAAGCCCTGAAACCCACAACTACCCAGGAACCACTCCCCCAATCCCCTAAAACGGACCCCAAAGCCCTTAAACCCTCAAACCCCACAGGTCGGCCTGCTCTACTTCCTGTACGCCTCACCGCTGACCGTGGACACCCTGGATGTCCGTGCGGAGCTCCAACTTCTGAGGCATTCATAACCCCCCCTCCCCCAGCAAAAGTTTAGGGTTAGGGTTTCGGGTGACATGTGGTCAAGAGTAGCACCAGAAGAGTTTGGGTGATAATCTGCTCGAGATTCTGGAGCCCTGGTTCTCTAGGGAAAGCGAAGATGGGAAAGGAAGTTCCCATAAGGTCCCCCGAATTTTTTAGAGAGCCAAAAGATTCCTTGATGAAGGAACAGACCTTCAACCAGATAAGGGCCCTTAGTGTGATTTAAGGTATATTCCTGAATTGAGGGGTGCTGGGCGTTTTGGGGTTCGGGCCTTCGCGAGCGTCCCCCAGCCTGAGCCAAACCCGCAGGGAGGCGCTGCGCCCTGGGCCGACCGCAGGAGGCCCAAAGAGACGGTGTGAACATCATTGGACATCACATGTTTTATTTTGAATTCAAATTTTAATGTGATTATTTTGAATTCAAATTTTAAAGGGGTTTTAGTGGGTTGTTTGGGGGGGGGGGGTTCAGGGCACTATCTCAGTGGAGTTTGGCCGTGAAGTCGCTGTCCTTGTAGGCGCTGTAAGCCCCCCTGGAGGTGAGCCGAACGACTTCAAGGCACCCGCCTGCAGCATCTTGTAGCGTTCCTAGGTCGGTGCCCTGACGTTGGGGAAGTCTTGGGATGTCGCTGTTCCCAAAGCATGGGCTTTGAGAGACGTGCCCTGAAGAAGTGCCAGCAGTCACCTGCAGCAAGACTGGCTTCAGGCATCGCTGCTTCGTAATCAAAGCCGCCTTTGTGCTGCTTAGTGCATCTTGGCGCATTTTCGTGCCGCTCATGCCCATCGCCATGGATCTGGGCCTGGACGGCTTCGGCCTGGAGGAGGACATCCCATTGCGCGGCTGGTCGATGAAGCGCGGACACCGCAAGCGAGTGGAGGCCGCCAGCTGCCGCAAAGCCAAGAAGACCGGCAAGGCCAGCGAGCAGTACGAGGCTCTGCAAGCAGCCTATGTAAGTATAGTACTGATTCATGACTATAAGCGGTTAGAAGATGTGGTGACGTGCCGGTAGTGGGACTTGGTTGGGGTTGCCTTCTCTTGCAAAGAATTGCATCTTTAGTCAGCACTGGCAGTGCAAGCTGCGCTCTCACTCTCCGTCGCTCCGTCACAGGTGGGACTGGGGCGCTCCGTCGCCAAGCGCAGTGTCCATTCCGGAGTCCGTCACTGGTGGGGGGACCCGGAGTTCCATGGCAAGTACGGAGGCGATTATCTGCCGCAGACCCGCCGGAACAACTTGAGGCGGCAGATGCACCAGGCAGTTAACGAGATCGCTGAGTTCGAGGAAGACTGCCTGCTGCATTCCTTCGAGGACGTGGAGGAAGAGATGGAAGAGATGGAAGAGATGGAAGAGTTGGAAGAGTTGGAAGAGCTGGAAGAGTGGGCGGCGAAGTGGGAGGATCTGGAGGTGGCGTCCGTGTGCACGTCCACTACGGCGGGCGGCTCCGAGTCTGCCTCCGGCTTCGCCGACTTCGCCGACTTCGCGATGTCATCGGCCGCCTCCAGCCCGTCGCGCTCCAGCGCGGCCGAGGCAACCTCACTTTCGCCGTGGCTCGCGGCCCTCCGGCGGGCGGAGCTCCGGGCCCAGGAGTATGCAGCCATGCAGATTGCGGTGCAGCTTGAAAGGGAAGTTGGACCGAGACGGCGCAAGCCAGTGCCTAAGAAGAAGAGCGAGATCGAGCGCTGGCAGACGAGTTGAGCAGAATGTACCAAGTGAGGCTCTGCCATGATCAGGCCGATCTTGCCAGCCCTCTGACTCCTTTCGAGAAGCTTCGCTGGCAGTTTCTGAAGGACCACGCGCATGCCATCTGCCACCCACTCTCTGGCTGCTACCTCGGCACGGGCAGGCGGTGGCAGTTGAAGCCGACACCTCTCGCTCCCGACGTGCAGGACCCGGAGAGGGATGCCACGCTTGGCTTCGCAGTCATTGTAGTGAAGCGGAGCGAGCGCTCACGAAAGAGAGAGAGCGAGAGAGACAGAGACCGTCACAAGAAGCTGCTCCCCAATCCTGTCTTCCGACGAGGAAAAGTGGGGCGGGCGAAGAAGCACGGGGTGTTCGCCCCCTAGTCCTACGAAAGAAATAAATGCAGAAAGAAAGAACGAAAGAAAGAAAGAAATCGTGACAGTGGCAGGGACGATCGTCACCAAGGTTGAAGGGGCCAAGAAGGGGAGGAAGGACCAAGGGATCGGCAACACACGCACACACACACACAACACACACAACACACACACACACACACACACACACACACACACAACACACACAACACACACACACACACACACACACACACACACAACACACACAACACACACAACACACACAACACACACAACACACACAACACACACAACACACACAACACACACAACACACACAACACACACACACACACAACACACACAACACACACAACACACACAACACACACAACACAAACAACACACACAACACACACAACACACACAACACACACAACACACACAACACACACAACACACACAACACACACAACACACACAACACACACAACACACACAACACACACAACACACACAACACACACAACCCACACAACACACACAACACACACAACACACACAACACACACAACACACACAACACACACAACACACACAACACACACAACACACAACACACAACACACAACACACAACACACAACACACAACACACAACACACAACACACACAACACACACACACACACACACACACACACACCACAACACACACCACACACACACACAACACACACAACACACACAACACACACAACACACACACACACACAAAACACACACAACACACACAACACACACAAACACACACAACACACACAACACACACAACACACACACACAACACACACACACAACACACACACACAACACACAAAACACACACAACACACACACAACACACACAACACACACAACACACACAACACACACACAACACACACAACACACACAACACACACAACACACACAACACACACAACCCACACAACACACACAACACACACAACACACACAACACACACAACACACACAACACACACAACACACACAACACACACAACACACACAACACACACAACACACACAACACACACAACACACACAACACACACAACACACACAACACACACACACAAAACACAACACACACAAAACACAACACACACAAACACAACACACAACACACAACACAACACACAACACAACACACAACACAACACACAACACAACACACAACACAACACACAACACAACACACAACACAACACACAACCCAACACAAACCCACAAACACACACCCACCAACACACAAAACAACACACCACACCAC